CCTGCTTCTTGCCAGCTTAACCCCTTGTAACTGGGCCTTCTTGCCCTCCATTCCAGACCATTGCTTAGTTGCAAATGTCCACTATTGAGCAGTAACGATTTGAATTTCCTCTTCACGGGCTTCTCCTGTAACCTGTCTGCTACACATGTGCTCCTCGAAGCCCGCACCCAGACCATTAGTGTCTGTTATGCTGGGTCACTTTAGGGAGGGGGAAGGTTCTTCCTTCTGCCCTGAGAAGAGACTAAGTCCCACCTCCCCCTCTCCTTCCTTGCTGAGGAGGATCTGAACCTGATTCCCTTTTGATTGGCTGAGGGCAGCAGTGGACGTTGCCCTCTCTTTCAGAACGATGCCTGCCTGTTGCTTAGAACTGACTGACCCGTGTTCAACTGCTGCTCACATGGAACTTTGCTCCACTTCAGCTTTTGAAGCTCTTTTTTAATATTTGCTACTACTACCAAGTTCTGCACCTGTGGTAGCTGCACCGTGGCTTTACCCCGGGCTTCAGCTTGCACTGTAGCAGTCCCACTTGTCATAGCCTTGCACTGCTGGTGATGGCTGCGTATGGGCCTGACGCTCCAGCGACATCGCTTTTCAAGGCCAGTTGACTCGGCAGGTGAGTTGTTACACACTCCTTATCAGATTCTGACTTCCATGGCCACCATCCTGGTGTCTAGATCAGCTAACACCTTTTCTGGGCTCTGATGAGCGTTGGCATCAGGCGCCTTGACTCAGCGTTCGGTTCACCCTGCACCCTGCAGCGCCAGTTCTGCTGAGCAGAAAAGGCCCAGGGAGCACTCAACGTTGCACAGCGCGGCTCCATGTGACAACGCGTTGACAAGACAATGCTGAGGCTCCTGCATTTCCCTCTGTTTCTCCAGTGGCCTGTGGAACTGTATTTGCTAAGCATTGTGTGCAAAGGAAGATAAAAATCTCTCCCCAGTTCCTCCCTATTTCGTTAATGTAGCGGGCTCTGTCATTTCAGTAACGCTTACTCTGTCCTGGGCAGTCCCTGTGCTCAGGTGACTGAGATTTCAGCAGTTGCTTCGTAGCTGCTCTGTAGGAGCAACTGTAAAGTAAAAACTTGGTTAAAAAAAAAAAAAAGCTTTTTAAAAAAAGTAAAACACTGAGTGCATTTTGCCAAACAAAAATGCAAACCCTACCTCCCTTTACATGAAACTCCCTATTGTTTCATGTATTATTTAAAATTCAGAAAGCAAGCCATCAGTATCAGTTATGCCTTATAAACCTTTTAAAGTAAAACTTTATTAGAGGAGAGCCCCATTTGTGAATGCTTTCATTTTGAAACTTCACACATGCAAATATCCATATGGTCTTTGCCAGAATTGTGATATGTTTTTTTTTTTTTTTTTTTTTTCTGACAGTCTAGCTGCTACTTCTTGAACAAGTCCTAATACTGTATTCAAACATACTGCTTCATAATTGTAATTTAATTGTAAGAATAACCATAGTAAGTTTTAGTAGCTTTGAACTGATCTGTCAGTGACTTATACCTGTACATAATTATTTTCCTAAAGTTTGTCAGTGTCTGTTCTGCTACATCATCTTTTGAAGTACTATTTACATGTTTCTTAGTACTGTGACAACATACTCCTGGTTCTGTAAAGTGACTGTAAAATTTACTTTGCGCTGTTTAGTTGGAAGGGAGTCCAAAGATATAGCAGGCAACTGAAGACAAAAAATCAGGCTCCAAATCTGGGGAACTGCAGTTTCTTGCAAAAAGACACAAATGTTGTATTCACTTGCACTTTACGGAGCCTGAGAACATCTTCATGCTGTAAAGAATTCACTCATGACAGTGACAGAAATAAAGACTATAAAAGCTAAAATTACCTAGATGGTTTCAGTTTGGTTGTTGTTTTTGTTTTTAAAGCAAATAAGCCAAACCAAAAGCAACCTCTGACAGTAAAAAATCCTCCCAGTAAGTGAATGGATTCTCGAGCAGAGACAGTAAAAGAAGAGAAGTGTAGAGAAGGCCACAGAGTCCTTGTTATTCAAGCTTGTCAAATTCCCATTATCTGCAAAGGAGAAATAACTGGTAGAAGACAACCTAATGAGGAATGTTTTTTCTCTTTTTGGAAGCTTTGTTGAGTTTCTAGGGTGTACTGCAAGGGAGAGAAGAGAGGAGAGGAAGAATTGCACAACACATTTCTGTTGCAAAACATTTTACCAAAACCAGCCTGTTTTCTTCAGGAACTGCAGTAAGACCCCTCAAGATGCAACTTGATTTGATTTGAGCATGAGAGTAGAATCTGCAGGGTTTCAAGAGTCCCTTCAATCTCACCTTGAAATATTTCTCTCTGTGAATGGTAGTACTGCTCTCTGTTGCTATGCCCTCAAGTCAAAGGCATGTTGCAAGACATCTCATTTTGATCAAGTATTATTCACAGATTTTGTAGTTTTGGTTACATGCATTTGAAATTGTTTTAGACTGAGAGAGAAATGCAGGGGAAGTGCTTCTCTTTATAGTATCCAATGTGCAACATAGAGGCTTATGTTATGCAGCTTGGGGGTAATTGGACTATTCCAAAGCACTCTAAAAACTTGATTTGGGAATTCTACAGCTTCCAGCAAAACATACTACAACTTTGTATATAAGTAAACTAGGACAGTATCTCACAGAGTGCTCTTACTGCTGGGTTTTGAATAGCCATCACACTTGCTCTGTATTCTGAACAGAGTAGCGATGTTGATGAGAAAATAACAAACACTGTGGGTATAGGTCCAAACTTTTGGAGGTTTGTGGAGATTGAATGATACGTAGACAGGCACAGTTAATGAATAATGTAGATGAGAGAGGTGAAACTTTTCCTTGAGTATTTAACTCTTCTAACACAGTCTTACTGGAATCTTAGTATGTCACTCAAATCAATTGCCTAGAAACAACACCCACCCCCCCTAACTGCATGCTTTTTCTCCCCCAGGTGTCTCAGTTCATAGACATGCTGAAATTTCACAGCTAAACTGTAGTGATTGAAAACTCTGTTCTGAAAACTTCAAGAATCGCACTGTACTAATTTGAAAAAGCTGTCACCTTAATGTTAACTCTGATTTACACCCTTTGATTTATCCCTGCTAAAAGCAAATTAATCATAATGCCCCTTTACCTTAAAGAGTGTTTGGAAGCAAACAAGTGTGACTGGTGATAAACACTTACTTTGACATAGAAGTCAGTGGCACAGTATTCAGGATAAAGTGTGAAGAATGTACAAAATGGTGAGGATGCACACCTAGTAGAAGAATAACATAAATATGCTGAGTATCCTGTCTCTTGCTGCCTAAACTGCCCATAGAACATCATATTGGCCCACAGTCTTCCAAACTTACACATAAATGATAGAAAAGTTTCTGTACAGTATCTCTTTCTACATTATTTTTCAAAGTGAGGAAAGGCAGCAGTTAAGATAGCTGAAGAAAGGGGAGACATAGTGATCCTGAGGAGAGGATCTGGGATTCCAAGAGGGATTGGTGCTGCCTGTGGGACACTTCTGTCTCCAGTTGCTATGTCCATATTAAGGATAGTAGCTACTTTTATGCTACAAGAAAGTATTTGCAAGATAGCAGACATTTTGAGATATTATTTACTGTAAAAGAAATGCAGTTCAGTTTTCTTTAAGGTCCTGCTAGCCCCAACTGGTAGTAGAAGCTTAGTTTTACTGCTTTCCGTGTCTCTGAAGCAGTTATATTACTAGTGTTATATATATTATAGTGTCATTTTTTTACAATGATATGCTTTTGTTTCTACTTTGGAATCATAATCTCAAATGGACTGAGGGCTTTTACTGTAATTTAAAATCTCTTCAGATGAAATTTCTGAAAACCTGTAATAGTTCTGAGATTAAGGGTAAAATTCTGTTATATAGTTAGTTCTCAGTGTAATTATGATTCCTTAAAAAAACCACCAAAACTATGTGTACATTCAACCTTCCCTTAAAATCTGTATGGAAGAAAATAATTCCAGAGCAAGAATTAGTAATTTAACAAAATTATTGACACATCTACACAATAACATAATGTTATTTCTTTTCTGAAATTTTTACTGCTTGTAATCACAAAAAGGGATTTTAAATACTGAATTTCGTCTTGATTCTGACCACTGTTATAAAACTTTGGGCCTAGAGCATAACTTTTTATAACAAGAAAACACATCTTAATTTTCTGCTGTATTGTTTCTGCTTGTATAGTTGGTCAGCCAGCTTCATACTTCCTCTGTTTGAGAGCAAAATATGTTGAGTAGAGCACATTTTTATTTTTCAGAATATGTTTGGTCTGAATGATTTAGGCAAAAGAGGAGTGTGGAGTTGAAATTTCCACTAGATCACAGTGTAATTATGCCATCTACTGCCCCATTTCTGGTATCACATTTGAACTGTCTGCCCAAGTGACACATACCACCATTGGCAGTATACAGTGACACTCTTAGCAGAGGTAATGGCTAGGCATGAGAAAGAGTTGTATGCTTTAAGTGATGTGTAGCTTTAAATGAGACATGGAACATCAGTCAGTTGTCTTCTGTTTCTTTAATCCCATCTTCCAGTCGCAAAGGTCGCCAACGCATAGAACTAAATCATTACTTTCTTTTCATGGTTCAGTTCCTGAAGGTAGAGGTAATAACCAGATTTGCAAATAATATGTACCAAAAATTTGCAATCTTATGAAATTTAAAGTATGTGACATCCTTACTGTTGTGGGGGGTTGACCCTGGCTGTATGCTAGGTGCTCACCAAAGCCGCTCCATTACTTGCCTCCTCAGCTGGACAGGGGACAAAAAATATAATGAAAGGCTGGTGGGTTGAGGTAAGGACAAGGAGAGATCAGTCATCAATTACCATCAAGGGCAAAACAGACTTGCCTCGGGGAAATGAATTTATTACAAATCAAATCAGAGTAGGATAATGAGAAATAAAAACAAATCTTATATCTTCTGTCCACCCCTTCCTTCCTCCCAGGTTCAACTTTATTCCTGATTTCTCTACCTCCTTCCCTCTAGCAGTACAGGGGGATGGGCAGTAGATGTTGTGGCCAGCTCATTACACATTTTTTCTCCTGCTCAGTCCTCCTCTGTGGAAGGACTCCTCACACTCGTGCTCTACTACAGCTTTGAGTCCATCCCAGGAGGGACAGTCCTCCATTAACATCTCCAATGAGAGACCTTCCCACAGGCTGCAGTTCTGCTCCAGTGTGGGTCCCTTCCATGGAGTGCAGACTATTCCAGCGTGGGTCCTTCACGGGATCACAACTCCTGCCAGAAAACCTGCTCCAGCTTGGGCTCTGATGCCACAGGTGCTGCCAGGAACCTGCTCAAGAGTGGGCTTCCCACAGAGTCACAGCCTGCATTGGGTATGCACATGCTCTGGCACAGGGTCCTCCATGGCCTGCATGTAGGTATCTGCTCCCCTGTGGACCTCCATGTGCTGCAAGGGGTCAGCCTGTCTCAGCATGGTCTTCAGCAGGGAGGGGCTGTAGAGGGATTTCTGTTCTGCTGCCTGGAACACCTCCTTCTCTGCCTTCTTCACTGACCTTGGTGTCTGCAGAGTCATTCACATACCGTGCTCTCCTCTCATATC